AGGGACTTGCCATGGTGGAGATGGATGCCGACCCAGAGGAGTACTGTCCGGGAAACCAGCGAGGACTCGGAGAGGTGTAAGGTTTAGCATAGATGCATTATCCGACCTCTACGTCTGTAGGAGCAGTCAGGACGAGCGAATATATACAAACGACATCTATAGTTAGCATATCCCGTCGTCAATGTGGCATATGAGTCCGCCTTGCGCTCAAGCTGCCAGCTGGGCACTTTCACCCTTCCGGCGCTCCCGGTAGTACGCGGTCGACTATTCTACGCGAGGGCCGACCGTGCATCACGTGTTAACCCCTCGAAAAGGTCAGACCCGGGTCAGACCCCGAGTCAGACCCCGGGGTCAAGCCGAGAGGGTCAAGGGGTCGAGTCTTGACCCGCACACCTCTGGTACGCTCTGTTGCCTCAAGGTCATGCGCCGTCATAATCTCAATCTCGACGCTGCACGCCGCTCATTGCTGAATGCCTATCACCCGTCACCACTTGAAACCGACCGTGCACCCTCTCCCCAGGTTTCGATCAAGGATGCACTAGTCGAGTGTGTATTAGTCGAGTGTGGGTCTTCCATCATACTTGGTTCATCGGTCGCTGCCATTGGGAATTTTACCGGGAAAAAATGTGTCCTACTCTCAAGTGCGGTGCTCGCAGAACAGTCCGATGCCCGCGCTATATATGCAAAACATCTTGCACCCAGTCCGGCGCGTGTGGCATCCTCACCCTCCCTCTAGAACTGCCGCGATACTCGGAGAGGAGCGAATGTTCACACTTGAAGTACTAGCCAGCAACATATCGAGAAGCCCAATTCTCAGGCTGGGTCCCATCCGCTGTTCATGCTGAGTTCCCATGCGACGGCGATCGGGGAATCTAGCCTCCGAAAGCTCTGAGAATTGTGCAAAGCAACTTCTGGTTCTACACCGGGATACGACATGCACGATTATATGTTGTCTCGGATGCCTTCGTTAGCTTAATTGTAACGGATCATCGATCAGGCCTCAGGAGCAGACGACGGACCCACGTTGTAAGTCGAAGCTGATGAACACATCCTTGATCTCGGGGGGTTTCATATAAATCACTAGTACTAGTGGCTGGATGATCATAGGCGCAGTTGCTCTGGGTTTTCAACTCGTGCCAGCTTTAAGGATGCTCAAACGGAACGAGCTGCATTGGTGGGGTGATCGTCTACACAAAGTGCACACGCTGAGACTGCTCTCTTCATGTCTAGAATCAGCGTGAATCGTAAGAAAAGTAGAGGTGGACGACATGCACTGCAGTATTAGACCCCAATCAAGTTCTATACGGTTAGCTCGACCCCCTCGAGGCCTGCGCTCCACCCGTTCGGTCTTTGGCTTCTTCAATTTGGCCTAATCTCCTGCATACCGAGTGATACTTTGCATGAGTAATGAGCATCAAAGGAAGTCGCATCGCGCGGTGTGAGGCCCCGTGTCCAGCTTAGAGAGTATATTTCAGGTCAAGAGCCAGCGATTGGTCAGCACCGCAAGCAGAATAGACTGGAGAAAAGGACAGTCATAGCGTAGGCGAAGGACCTGGCCGTCTACGAAGCGTTGGGAAGATCGCTACAGCCAAATGCGTCGGGAAGTCCGGTCAACAGCCCGGTTCGACGGCGTGATGGCTAAGACGTCAGACCAACATGACCGTGCAGACACACCACGGTCTGTCGCCATCAAACAAGCACTGACAGCACTTAACAGTGTCCTCTGTCAGCAGCCTTGAAAGAGGCCAATGGGCGATGTGGCAATTCAGGGAGAAGACCACAAACTGCATGCTGTCGGGTAAGTCTAGCACATGTCGCGGTCAGCAATTCCAGATTGCGTGGAAAGTCACCTCCGCAATTCCAGATAGCTGAGTACCGAGGGCGATGCTGAAAGGCCAAGGGGTGCGTAGAGGTCCAATGAGTGCGTGAACATATGCATGCCTAGGAAAACACTAGCGGCGCCTTTGCATCCCGTCGAATTCGATTGGGCCTCCGGCTCGGTCGCACGTCGTCATGATCTCCTCTTGCACGTCGTTCTCGACAGGCTCCGCGACATGGTATCAGCATGCGCGTGTTGCCCGGGAGTGCACTGGTCGGTGAGGAGGGCGAGTGACTTTCCGGAAACAAGTAAGAGCGCGTCGATTGCGTGATCTACTGCTCACTCTTCCTCATCGTATAAAATCTGCGACAACCAGAGCGACATGCCTCACTCACCATCAGATATCCCCCTCTATTTCTCAGACGCATACTCCTAGCAGCTTCAAGCTCTCCTTCCTTTCTAGACGTCGAAGTCAATTAGTAAAAATGGCCAACACTCCTCACGGCGGTGTTCTGAAGGTGCGCGCGCATCTGGCTGGCGCAAATCAAGCACGTCATTCATCCTCATTTTACAGGATCTTGTCGCAAGGGACGAGCACCTGCGCGATAACCTCAAGGCTGAGGCACATACTATACCTGATATCGTCCTGACCGAGGTATGTCTTCGCTGCAAAGCGACATAAGAAGCGTATGTTTACTGGTGATGTCATAGCGTCAACTATGCGACCTCGAGCTCATCATCAATGGAGGTTTTAGCCCTCTGGAGGGCTTTATGAATGAGGCGGATTACAAGAAGTATGTTCATCAGTTCCGGCTGGTCGCGCGTACGGTGTTAAGGAAGGTCTCAGCGTTGTAGACTCCCTTCGTCTCGCCGATGGCACCCTCTTCCCCATGCCAATTACCCTCGATGTTTCTCGCGAGGACATCGACCGTCTCTCCCTCGCACCCGGCAAGCGCATCGCTCTACGGGATCCTCGTGATGATGAGGCACTCGCTATTATTACCGGTATGTTACTTGTCTTTAATGACAGGCTTCAATGGCTAACAGAATGGTAGTCGATGATGTCTACCGCCCTGACCAGGTGAAGGAGGCTATTCAGGTGTTCGGCGCGGATGACCCCGCACATCCCTCCGTAGCCTACCTGCGCAACAAGGTCAACGAATACTACGTCGGTGGTAAGGTCCAGGTCATCCAGCCCCCAACACACTTCGACTATGTTGCCCTCCGCTGTAAGTCGCTCCAATTAGTTCAGAATAGTACAAATACTAATCCACGACATAGACACCCCCGCAGAGCTTCGCGCGCACTTCAAGAAGCTCGCATGGCGCAAGGTCGTTGCCTTCCAGACCCGCAACCCCATGCACCGCGCCCACCGTGAACTCACCGTTCGTGCCGCGCGCCAGCGTCAGGCTAACGTCCTTATTCACCCCGTCGTCGGCCTCACCAAACCCGGTGACGTCGATCACTACACCCGTGTGCGCGTGTACGAAGCCATTATGGCCAAATACCCTAACGGTATGGGCCACCTTGCCCTACTTCCGCTCGCGATGCGCATGGCCGGACCTCGTGAGGCAGTCTGGCACGCCATTATCCGCAAGAACTTCGGTGCGACGCACTTCATTGTCGGCCGCGACCATGCAGGTCCCGGTAAGAACTCCCAGGGCCAAGATTTCTACGGCCCGTACGACGCACAGGATCTCGTCATGAAGTACCATGAGGAGCTCCAGATTGAGATGGTTCCCTTCCAGCAGATGACGTATCTCCCGTCCACGGACGAGTACCAGCCCGTAGATGAGGTCCCGAAGGGCGTCCAGACGCTCGACATATCGGGCACGGAGCTCCGCCGACGCCTCAAGACGGGTGCTCCGATTCCTGACTGGTTCAGCTACGAGTACGTCCCATGAACCTTGACTGCGGCGCGGTTTCTGAGTCTGAGAACGTTCCTCTAGCGCCGTCGTGAAGACACTGCGGGAGAGCTACCCCCCGCGTCTCAAGCAGGGCTTCGTTGTCTTCCTTACTGGGTTGCACAACTCGGGCAAGGACACGATTGCGAAAGCTCTTCAAGTGATTCTCAACCAGCAAGGCGGCCGGAGCGTTTCGCTCTTGCTTGGTGATACCATTCGCCCCGAACTCGATACCCGTACGTATCTGAGGACTGTCCACTTAAGCAGTCCATTGACACTGGTTTACCACACCCAGCATTCTCCGCTACGCCTGAAGAGCGTTCCAAGAATCTCCAGCGGCTTTCCTTTGTCGCGGCGGAGCTCGCGCGGGCAGGTGCTGCTGTGATCCTCGCTCCAACCGTGCACACGCAAGCTGCTCGCGATGCCATCAAGAGCACTATCCTCTCGCAGGCGGGCTCTGGTGCGAATTTCTTCGCGATCAACGTCGCGACGCCCCTCGAGCACTGCGAGGCGAACGACCGCAAGGGCATCTATACTCGCGCGCGCGCCGGCGAAATTTCCGGCGTCCCTGGCGTCGACGAGGCCTTCGAGCCTTTCGAGCGGCCACAGCTCACCGTGGATGTCACCAAGCAAAACATCCCGGAGATCGTTCACAGTATGTCGCTCCACAAGTCTGAACGTTGCCTAGGCCTGACCGTCGTCTGTTACAGGCGTTGTGCTCCTTCTGGAGACCGAGTCGCTGTTGTAGGCCGTTGACACCCCTCTGTGAAGCTGTGCCCAGGGGTCCCATCTTGAGTAAGACTACCTCGGAACGGGTCGTCCACGTTCTTGTATATAGATTGCATCAGTCACGACCGTATCTTGAGGGAAGTGCCACGTATTGTTGTACCAGGATAGACCATGTATATACGCTAGAGGGTTGTATACATAACTTATGCTCATGTATACTTACATGGTGCAGTCAGCGCGCTTGTAGTGCAGCGGTCAAACAGCAAGTATGTTCATCACCCAAAATGGCAGGTGTCTTGGTCGTTGAGTTTCAACCACAAGCGCCGTCATCCCATCTTACTCTCAAGGTCTCAAGAATTCAACCCTGACCATGGTATTCATCCTCTTTCTTGTTTCTCGTGATCACAGCAATAGATTTTTAGGCAGCCGAACTCTGAGGCCAAACAGCATGGTGTCAACTCATGGATTATGTTTTGCAGAGGTAAGTACGCAAATGGCTCCTCATCTTGCCGCCGCGGCTAGTCTTCATCAAATTGATAGGTTCGAGCGAGGACAACACCGGATATGTAGAATACCCTTGGCAGAATTTGCCCTGGGCTTGACAAATGTATAGGACTGGGGTGGCTCAGAGCACAATCACAGCCCTCGCAAATGATGAACACAAGGGCTGTTGCACAGATCGTCAGCGGGCGGTCACTGCGCGCGTGGCGTACATCAACCGCTCTTGCGTCCCGATTCGCAAAACGGCCGCGCCCCGCACCGCCCAAGGAACAGTCAGACGACCGCCGAGCCTCGGCGACGCGATGCGTGGCCAGGGTATTGGCAAATGTGCGCGGGCAACCTCCGCTTGCAGGTTCTCCTCCCTCCTTATTCCGTCTCTTCTCATAGTCTGTCTTTTCTGTGCTTTCCTTCTTGCTGCTGTGCATACGGCCTGAAATCTTCTGACTGAGAACGAACTTTCCGGTCTAATTGGACGGCCAAACCATGACGCGCCTGTCTTGCCATCTTCCGTCTTTCCTTCTCGCCGCGTCCCTTACAAATGATTTCTTCGTAAGTGGGGTAATTATGTCCCTGGAGGGGTTGAGGAGGGCATCGGGGATAGCGACACATGGACTGGCGACGAGGGCGGGAGTGGTAGACTTGCAAAACAGCGGGGACTTGGAGTTTTATATGAACGTAACGCTTGGCGGGCGATCCATCCGAGTGCTGATGGATAGTGGAAGGTACGTTTCATGTTTCCGTTAGTAGTGCGCAGTGATTCATAGGTCCTGTCGTAGCGCGGATTTCTGGGTAGCTGGAGAGATACCCGAGGCAGCTGGGACTCCGCATGCCGTGGCCATCCACTACCAGGATTACACCGTCGGAGGTTGGTCAATGCTTCGACGGCGAGATTGAGCGCTCTGACCATACCTTGTAGGGCAGGTCAACCAATCGACACTGGAGATCGGAGGGGCGACCATCGTCAACCAGACCTTTGGCAAGTCAAAATCTATAGGGAGCGCTCACTCGCACTAACGGAAGATGTAGTCGCGCAGCCAGTCGATACGTTGCATCCTGATGGTCAGGGTATTCTCGGAATTGGCCCTACCAGCTTGTCGTCCATCGCCGCGGCTATTCCCGCCCCTGCCGGAAACCCGGTTATAGACAACCTTATTGCGCTGCAAGGCTCAGGCAGCGAGTATGTTACGACCCTCATCAGTCGCCCGAACAACGACTCGGATGTTATTTCTACCCAGCTGACTGTTGGAGAGGTTCTATCGGACTACGAGGATGTTCAAGTGGCGAATCGACTGGACGTGTCTAAGAGTGGCTGGGACTCGCATTGGATGGTGGCGCTGGATGATGGAGGAATCGTCGGTCCTGATGGCAAGATGGTGAAGGCCTCTGAAGGTGCTCAGCTGAAAGTCGTGTTCGACTCGGGATACACGATGGCACAAGTTCCTAGGTACGCCCGCTCCCGAATCATGTCTTTATGAAGGCTCAAAAAAATCGCAGCGATGTTGCGGAGGCGATCTATTCTCGAGTGCCCGGGGCCAAGCTGACGACAATAGACGCTTCGCCCTCTCCAGCTTGGACAATGCCTTGTAATATCGAGCTCAATGTCACGTTCAAGTTCGGTGGCGTGTCTTACCCCATCCACCCGCTTGATACTGTCATGAACGATGTCACGGGTCCGTTGGATAGCAATGGGATCTCCTCTTGTGTCGGAGCGTTTCAGCCTTCCACCACGAGCAACCCGTATGATATCTTGCTTGGCATGACTTTCCGTGAGTCCTATAGAAGCTGCAAGCTGGACCGATGATTCTCAATTATCACCATCATAGTGCGCAACACGTATCTTCTCATGAACATCGGCGACCAGCCCTACGTCCAACTTCTTTCCCTCACGAATCCTGCACAAGCGCATGAGGAGTTCGTGCAGCAACGCTTGGACGGTGTAGACACGACTGGGTCCCAACAACTCCTCCCTGATACTGCAGGTTTGAGCGATAACTCGAAACCGCCGACAACGGTCCAGAAATACAAGTCTTTCATCATCGCCGGCACAGTTATCGGCGCTTTCATTCTTCTGTGCGTTCTCGGCATCCTCACGGTTTGGTACCGCAAGCGCAGATATCAACGGCTCCACGCCCCAGCACCTGAAGGCGCTTTGCAGTCCCGTGGCCCGCAATCTTCCGCCTGGAAGGAGTTCAAGGAACCCGAGCCCAAGCCACGCTTCAAGGTTTTCTCGCTCGGACTCTCCGGTCGCTCACGCTCGCTCACCCGCGCACACGGACCCCTCCCGGATTCCTACGGACCCCTCCCGGATTCCCACGGACAAGACAGCAATGCCTCGACACGGAAAAAGAACGCCGGCGACCTCGTGCCCAACCGGAGATCGAAAACGCAGAGCATGCTCGCCGTCGCACGGCAGCCGTCCTTTGTAGACGAGGGAGCTGCGCTGCTCGGTAATGCTGCTGTTGTCGGTGTCACGTCGCCGCCAGCGTCGTATTCCTCTCATTCTTCCGTGTACTCTCAAGAGGATGGTCCCATCCTGGTCATCGGGGAGAAGCTTCTGCCAAACCCTCATGAAAGTGAAACATCGGCATCCGAGGAAAGGGATGTGACGAGCCCTCGTGCAGACGACGAAGAGGACCGGGAACTACCCCTGATTACACCCGCCGAGTACAAACGGCACACCTACGGGGCCGTTGAGCCACAGACCCCGGCGACCCCAAGGCCTCCTGCGAGGGCGGACACACCCGATCCTTACGACCTTCCACCCCTTCCAGCTCCGGTCCCAGCTCCGGCACCGCTACCGGCGAAGGCGACTAATAAGCATCGTCCTCTTCCTACGCCGCAACCAGTGGCCAGGAGTTCCTCAAAAGCCCAGCCGCTCGTGCCGAGTGCGTTCGAGTCGATGTCTCACAGGGCCGCTCCAGGGCGTTCGAAGATGCATACCCTACCTACGCTCGATATCTCGAGTACGTCGCTCGGTATGGGGTCTGTCACCACCTCGCAGTCATCGAAGTCATCTCGGTCCGACTCTTCGAGCTCCCGGTCATAGTCCTGGCGTCATTCTCGTTCCGTCCCAAAACGTTTATGTTATTGTCCGAGTCAGGCCTTTTACGTTTCTATCACTTGCATTATGTTAGCCGGACTCCGGACGTTCACTCATTTCCTGCGCACCCTCTTTTGTATCGCATGCATCCACCAGATATCTCGCATACGCTACTGCATTGTATATTTGTACACCCGTCGCTGAGTCCTATCTTCAAGACAGCACTCCCGTGGCTACTTACTGTCGTGCTGCCTGCATTATTGAGCGAGGATGGGGTCGCTGAAATCGTTCGTATGCTGCGGGGTCGCTCAAGCTGTCCAATATCTAGCAAATCACGACCAATCTGACGAGGCGAGGCGACGTTTTCTTCCAAAAGTGTCACCATGCCATAGCGCATAACGCTTCTGGGCCCAGTCTTGTCAAGGCAACCAGAACTACTGCGCGAATTGTCGCATATTGGATGGATCCGGACGCGGTCATACAAGCCCTTGGGCGACTGCGAACTGCTCGGAATTTTTCAGGCTATTGTTTGCGGACGAAACCGTGATCGTCATATGTACGCTTTGCTGCCCCATAGCTATAGCGTCTCTAGTGGAGTCAAGCAGTGGGATAGTGGGACATACGCCCAGGCCGAGGCGTCGAAGGACGGTGCAGAGGGCGGTACTTGCTAGGGGCAGTACTGGTCATATCCAATTAAGGGACGCTTTTGAGCAGCGCGGCGCCTGCATGCCCGAAGCACACAGCCATGCTGCCGGACGTCTAATACATACATAGTCCCGCCCCGTTGCTTGAACGTCTTTTCCTTGGTGCCTTGCTTAATTATTCTTCTGTTTCCTGCGTCCCTTGTCCTCCTCTTTTGCATCTGGGACTTGCAGTCATGAAGTTCCTCACACCGTCGCTACTGCTCTATCTTTCGTTCCTCCTCAATGACGTACCGAAGACACAAGCAATACACCTACCGATACAGGGCCGAATAGGGGGGTTCGGTCACGGTGGGCTTGCAAGAAGGGCTAGCGTTACGGGTACTCCAGACTTGTCGAATCAGGGGAACTTGCAATACCAGACGAACATTACCGTGAATGGACAGCAGTTCCAGGTACTTATTGACACCGGGAGGTGCGCGCCGCTTCACACGCAGATGTTGGTTGCGTCCATAGTGCTGACGAGGGGCGGCAATTAGCTCAGATTTGTACGTTGTGGGAAATGTGAACGGCGCGAAGGATACTGGGAAGACTGGTTCAGTCACCTATGCCATTGGCTCCACGAAAGGTGTGTACCGCATATGTTGATGGAGCACGTAGTCGTTGCTCATGATACATTCTAAGGCCCCATCAAGACTGCTACCGTTGAGTTCGAAGGGTTCAAGATCCCGAACCAAGCGTTCAGTGTGTAGCGTCATCTACCGAATCATCTACGGAGCTGACCGCAGAATTTATCCTCAGTCCAACAATCAGTAGACAGCGAACATACGGAGGGGGGCGGCATCATCGGTCTTGGCCCCAGCAGCGCGTCGGAAATCCGCGGGGCCCTAGGTAACAGTGGAGGTGACCCTGTTCTCGACCGAATATTCAAACAGAACACGAACACGTCGAACTACATAACCATTCTGCTGGGACGCGCCGGAGATCCTACCGACACCTTCGCAGGGGACATCACCGTTGGGGAGACTGTCTCGCCTTTTGACAATGTCACGAGCCAGCCAAAGCTTCCCGTCACGGAGATGTCGAATCGGGGCGGACAGCACTGGACGGCAATGCTCGACAAGAACGGGATAATCGGTCCTGACGGAAACCGGATTAACACGACTAAGCACGCAACGGGAAACAAGTTGACGGTCATGTTCGATTCCGGCTTCACATTCCCTCAAGTATCCGCGTGAGTCCTATATATACTGCCTTCCCGACCCCGACACCGTCAAGCTCATCCTGCATACAGGAACATTGCCAACCAAATATACGGCCGCGTACCCGGGGCCGTCTTGGCGAATGTCTCTGGAGGATCCGCCCCAATGTGGACGCTCCCATGCTCTACAGAGTTGAACGTCACCTTCAATTTCCAGAACGTCTCTTTTCCCATCCACCCGCTCGACACCGTTACGAGCGCACTGCAGGGTCCTCCAGATAGCTCTGGAAAACCCACCTGCGTGGGTGCCTTCCAGCCGATCACGACCAACATCCAGGGCTTTGACATCATCCTGGGCATGTCCTTCCTGCGCAACGCGTACATGCTCATCAACTTCGGCGACTTCGTCGATGGCTCGCTCGCCAAAGTCGGCGACCCGTACATTCAGCTTCTCCCCCTCACCGACCCCGCCGAGGCGCACGCGGACTTCGTCAAGATCCGCATGGACGGTATCGACAAGAGCGCGGACCTGCACCTGCTTCCAGCCCTTCCGGACAGCGGCGACGACGGCAGCAGCCGCGATGACCGGTCTAGCCAGGACACGCTGCACAAGTACCTGCCGTACATCATCGCGGGCAGCGTGGCGGTGGGGGTGATCATCCTGATACTCATCATCGCCGCGTCGTACCGCGCGTCGACCAAAAGGAAGTACCGTCGCTTGCATGACCCCGCCCCTGCTGGGCTCCCTGCGTCCAACAGCGATCCATTCCAGAACTACCAGCCTACTCGTCGTTACTGATCGTTTCTCGGCCCGGATTCTGCTTCATCGTTCCTTCCGCATCGGGACTATCTCAGATCATGCTTGCTGTGACTTTGCTTTCATCTACGGACGGTGGTATCATGTACAGGAACACACAATTGAATACATACATCATAACTTTACTACCGCAGCGACCAATCCGTCGTATGCGCTTGAAGGGTCTTCACGCATTCGGCACGGCCCACGACGGAGGCTACTCTCCTGTCACTTCATCCTTGGTCGCTGAAGAGCTTTCCCAGGATCATTCATGCCTATGACTCACCAGAATTGCATATCTTATCACTACAAAACCTCGTCATGCTTCTCGAGTCCATCGCGACCATGAACCCACGCGGATCGCCCTGTCCGGGAAGCGTCGGAGGATAACGACGACGGTCGTGCGAATAGCTGCGAAAGGCGCGCTGAGGCCGGACAGAAAGATGCACTCACCGGAAGAGGCGACTGCGGCCTCAGAGCTGCGGGAACGGGCGGCGAATGGGCGACGAAAATTCCAGGGCTCTGTCCGCCGGCGTCACACGCGGCGGCGCTGTTAGGCGGCTCGAGCTCGGCGCGACGGGGACGGAGCAGATGGCATGGCGAACAAGTTTCAGGGTCTAGGGGAAATGATGATGGGGAACGGAACCGGTTGGCCTGGGCTCGGGCTGAGACTAGAGCGGTACGCCGCGGACGGCGACCTGAGGCTGCTGGTTGCCGGATGCGGTGAGGAGCATGTGCGACTCACCGTCGCGCGTGACGAGGATCACAGTGTAGTGACGCGGGTGACAGTGAGACGTGACTTGGAAGCACGGTCGAGGAGAGCGGGGACAGTGAGGGACGCTCGGGACCCGCGCACGTTGCCGGCCGCGTCGTCGGCGAGGATGGAGACGGCGCCGTAGACTGCTGATGGGACACGGGGACTCTCACGGTGTACAGAACGGGGCTCATGGCTGGATGCGGATGGTAGCGCTGATCGCATGGGCGCCGCCGCTGGAGGCCGGGGGGACGTCAGCGAGCACGATTGGCGGAGGCAGATGAGAGCGCGCTCAGGAAGGCCCATGCCGGGGCGCAGAGAGGGGGCTGGGAGAGGGAGAGGAAGGCAGACGGGGGCCATGGCCGGAGATAAGCTGATGAGGGCGACTGGTCGGAGTTCGCCATGGGCAGTGACGAGCAGGCCGCGCTGTGTGGCCCGGCGCACGCGTGCGAACCGAGTCCGAGCTGGGCTGTCGGCTCTGGCGCTCGTCCCTCCCCTTCTCAACGCCCCCAGCAGCATCTTCCTCCCTCTCCCCATCATCCCCCCCTCCGCCGTCGTCCCCTCCTCCTGCGAACCCGTTACCCCGAAGAGCGCCTACCCTGGACTCCGACGACGACGACGACATGCTCAACGGCCACGACGACGACCCCATGGCGTCGGGCGCCCTCTCCCCCGCCCCGCTCAGCAATAGCGATGATAGCGACAACACGATGCAGGTCGACTCGGATGTCGATGTGACCCGCAATCCTGACGCCGACGCGGACGGCGAGTACGACGAGGAGGAGGCTGATAGTGTTCCCCACGCCAGTGGCGCCCCCTCCTCCTACCATTCCAAGCGCGTGGTATGTGGTTACGCTCTCTGGTGGTGTTGTTCAGGATGTTGACATTACAGGGATCATGGCAGGTGAGGGATGAGGACGAGTCGGTACGCGCGTCTGATGAAACCGTCCTTTGCACTGCTCATAGCCACAATTTCCAGGGGTACGAAGACGAACCAGAAGAGCCGAACGATGACGACGAAGATGCCTCGTATGCAGACGAGGAATATGGTGTGCCGAAGAAGAAACCACCAAAGAAGAAGAAAGGAGCTTCGAAGCCCAAAGGTACGTCTTGCCGCTGCTCGATTCAGAGCTTCTCCTCAAGCATTCGCGCGCGCAGTCATTCCTCGACAAGCCGTCCCCGACTCTGACTCCGATTCCGACTACGGCGCGCGCTCGAAGAAAAAGAAGAAGACGCGAAACGCGGGCGATGAACTTCGCGTCTCGAGTCGAGGAGTGAGGATCCCCAACTACGTCGACGATGTGCAAGATTTCGAGCAGTTTGACGACGAAGCGGATGCCGTTACGTACACAGAAACCGCCGCTCCAATGAAGGAAGAGGACGAAATAGAAAACGTACTCGGACACTGTAGGGATGAGGGACACGAGAACGACCCGGAGGATGACTGGTACACGAATATTGTACGTCCATCACTCCATATATGCGCCTATGTTTCTACAACATGTCACGGGGTAGCGTTTCCACATCAAATGGAAGAACTTCTCCCACCTGCACAATACGGACGAAGTGTATGAGTTCCTGAAGCGATTCAAGGGCCTCAAACGCGTCGACAACTACATCAAGGCATTCAAGATGGACCAGGAAATCCTTGCCGCCAGGAACCTATCGCCAGAAGAGAGGGAAACTATCCTGCTCCGACGAGAACGCGATAAGGAGGAGCTTGAACTGCACAAGACGGTCGAACGCGTCATCGCACAGCGCGAGAACGAGACAGGGCAGGTCGAATACTTCTGCAAGTGGAACGGACTGAATTACGATCACTGCACATGGGAAGTCCAGGATGACATCCGACCTATCGCGAAGGAGCAGATCGACGCGTTCCGACAGCGGGAAGCGGAAGCCAAATTCCCGTTCAAGAGTGCAGTGTACCCGCGATACTCTCGCCCGCCGTTCGAGAAGATCAAAGAGGACCCGTCGTATCTTACCGACACCGGTGGTGAACTCAAAGACTTCCAGCTCACTGGCTTGAACTGGCTAGCGTATCTATGGAGCAAGGGCGAGAACGGCATCCTTGCGGACGAGATGGGTTTGGGGAAGGTGTGTTACTCGGTGGTTCTGGCGCATATAACCATCGATGCTAAATGTTTGTCGCCTGCGCAGACTGTCCAGTCTGTTTCTTTCCTGTCATATCTGTTCCATGAACGGCGACAGTATGGTCCGTTCCTCGTGATCGTCCCTCTGTCTACGATCACCGCCTGGCAGTCGCAATTCGCGACATGGGCGCCAGATCTGCATGTGGTCACATATATCGGCAGCGCCGCCGCTCGTGCGGTCGCACGCAAATACGAGTTTGGGCCATCCTCCAAGAAGCTCAAGATGAACGTCTTGCTGACCACCTACGAGATCACGCTCCGGGACGTGAAGGAGTTAGGCGAGATCAAGTGGCAGATGCTCATGGTGGATGAGGTACGTGTACAGTGGCACAGCTGAGCCGGAGATGAGCCGTCACTGAACCCTCCCGACAGGCACATCGCCTCAAGAACTCGGAAAGTCAGCTTTATGAGGCTCTCCGTGGGTTCTCGGCTGCATCCAAGGTGCTCATTACAGGAACACCGCTCCAGAACAACGTCAAGGGTAGGTCTATAGCCGTTTCCAGTTCAATCGGTGTGCTTATAATATGTGCTGTTAGAACTTCTCTCATTAATGCATTTTCTCATGCCGGAGAAGTGTAAGTGTGGGTTTCTTGCGCGGACGAGATTAGCATCTAACAATAGCGATGCTCAGTCCTACTAACGAACGAGTTCGACCTCACGGACGCGGATCATGAAGTGAAGATCAAGGAGTTGCACAAGCAGCTCGAGTCCCTTATGCTGCGTCGTCTGAAGCGCGACGTCTTGACCTCGCTACCGACCAAGAGCGAGCGGATTCTTCGCGTGGAAATGAGTGCCATGCAGACTCATTTCTACAAGAACATTCTCACGAAGGTACATCTCTTCTGCCGCGACGCATCACCCAATCCACACGCTTATTTTGGTGCCAGAACTTCCAAGCCCTGGTCAAGAGCGCCAATGGCAACAACAACATCAGTTTGTTGAACATCGGTCAGTACGATCGCTCGTCCTAGTCGAGACAATCGCCTAAAATTATCACCTAGCCATGGAGCTGAAGAAGGCCGCGAACCACCCTTTCCTCTTTGAGGGGGCGGAGACACGCTCCAACAATGACGAGGAGGTTCTCAAGGGCCTTGTGATGAGCAGCGGCAAGATGGTCCTCCTCGACAAGCTGCTTCACCGCCTACGCGCCGATAATCACCGCGTCCTCATCTTCAGTCAGATGGTCCGGATGCTCGATATCATGAGCGACTACATGACGTTGCGCGGCTATCAGCACCAACGCCTCGACGGGACCGTCGCATCGGAGCAGCGGAAGAAATCGATTCAGCACTTCAATGCGCCCGGGTCGCCCGACTTCGCGTTCCTTCTCTCCACGCGTGCCGGTGGGTTGGGTATCAACCTCGAGACCGCCGATACGGTCATCATCTTCGACGTGAGTATTCTGTCCGCATGCGTCTGCCTCGGCCCTCATACTATGTGCGCCGCGTCGCAAACACGTTGCTGACGCCCCCTTTCCGTCTCCCTCCTCGACAGAGTGACTGGAACCCCCAGAACGACCTGCAGGCGATGGCACGTGCACACCGTATTGGCCAGAAGTCGCATGTCAGCGTCTACCGGTTTGTGAGCAAGGACACTATGGAGGAGGACATTCTAGAGCGGGCGAAGAAGAAAATGGTCCTCGAGTATGCCAGTAAGTGATCTCATCCTGCCTGCCCTTCCACCACCTTCATGATGGACGCCATCCAGTCATCAACCAGATGGACACGTCGCAGGCGCACCTCAGCTCGAAGGGGGGTGGCTCTAAGGACCCCTCGAAAGCCGATACGTTGAGCAAGGACGAGCTCCACGCGGTCCTCAAATACGGGGCGCAGAAGATGTGCGTTATCAGGGCATGCCCTCTGCCTCGTTCCCGACTCATTCATCGGTCTCCTTTCAGCTTCGACAAGGATGACAGCCAGCAGAACAAGAAACTTGACGAGATGGACCTCGACGATATCCTCAATCGTGCTGAGCAGCACGAGACGGTCGCAGCCCAGAACGAGGGCGCGTCGCTCGGCGGCGAGGGCTTTCTCGAGCAATTCGCCAATATAGCCGACGTCAAGAACGACATGAACTGGGAGGACATTATTCCCGTCGAAGAGCGTCAACGGTTTGAGCGCGATGAGGATCAGCGCAAGGCCGAGGAGATTGCTGCGGCGGAGACAAAGGACAGGAAACGGTCCCACGCACCCGTGTCCTATGAAGGTATGGACGTCGAGCACACCTCCTCGGCACCCCCCGCGAAGAAGCCTCGTCATCCTGCACCTCAACGGAAGACACCTAGCCAGAAGGCTATGGAGCTCAAGGAGCGCGACGTTCGTGTACTCGTTCGGAGCTTGCAGAAGTGGGGTGACATCAGGCAACGATATGACACCATCGTGCGTCTTCCTTCTTCGTCTTTGCTGACCGCTGCTGGATCGAGATCCACTCCGCTAGGTTACCGAGGCCAAGCTCACCGAGAAGAACCGTGGCATGATCCAGGATGTCGCGGACGACATCATTGAACTCTGTGCCCGCGCCGTCGAGGAGAACAATAACGAGAAGCGGGCACGTCTCGAGGCCGGCGAGACCCTCACCAACGCGCAGAAGAGCAAGGCCGTCCTCGTCACGTATAGGAACGTCAATAACATCAACGCTGAGACTGTCCTCTCAAGGCATCGTGACCTGCAGATCCTCTTCAAGTACCTCGATCCACTCAGCGAAGACGAGCGGTACGACTGGACGATTCCTATCGAGAACATCCGTCCGACGCTCAATTGGTCAGGACGTTGGGGTCCTCAGGAAGACGCGATGCTCCTTGTCGGCGCGTACAAGTATGGGTTCGGCAATTGGGAAGCCATGGCCAAGGATCCTCGTCTAGGTCTTGAGGGCAAGTTCTTCCTTGAGGAGGGAAAGAAAGGTGAGGACGCGGCGAGCAAACCCATCCCCAATGCTATCCACCTCGTCCGGAGAGGAGACTATCTGCTGGGCATCCTTCGAGAGCACGACGAGAAGATTCGTGCGATCGAGTCCACGCTCACTAGGCGAGGCCAGAAGGTGTCAATGTCGCCACCGCCGCCTGTCGCGTCAACGTCGTACGCGGCCACCGTCAGGAAGCGGGCGGAGAGTGAGGCTGTGGCCTCAGTGGATGAGGGTGCGAACAAGAAGCGGAAGCGGAGACCAACACCCACCTTCACCGACTCTTCTTCGTCCGACGAGTGGTATGTATACATTTGCATAATTGTCATCTACTTAATACTGAGTCGCCCAGTAGCCCATCGATGGATGAGGCGGCTACGAAGGAGGAGTTGCGGCCTGTCAAGAAGCAGCTGGTATGTGCCGTCTTCTTGCGAACATGAACACCGTATTGATCCATCTCTGCTTAGAAAAACCTCAAGCTCTCTGGTGGTGACATGCCTCGGGAAGACAAGGTTGCGATTCTCAAGGAATCGTTGGCTGCTATCGGAAAACGCATAGAGGTTGTATTGCAGGCGAAGGCGGCTGCGGGCGAGGATCGCGACAGATGGCGACGACACCTCTGGACGTAAGTGCCCTTGTTTAGTGTCCAACCAGTTCTCCATGCTCAATGTAGCGATCAGATTCGTGACGCTCTTCTGGCCCAAGAAAGTCAAAGCGGGGAAGCTCGAGGAAATCCATGCGAAGATGGTCATGAAGGAGGGCGCACCGAGGGCTTCCTCCAGTGATGGCACCTCGGCGGCGAAGAAGCCCAGGCTAAGCGTGGGTGCATCCAGTCGAGCAGGTGGGCCCGCCGCTCCATCCGCGTCCACGAGTTCTTCGCATACAAACGGGAAGTACCGGTGACATTCGATCTTCCCGCTCTGTATCGTCCGCTACCTCCGAGATCTTCGCTCCCCTATCTCATGCCTCTATTGTCATCCACTGTATCGCTGCACAACCCCGGTCTTCACATTCATGCTGTACTTTTGCGACCAACATACCTCTACATACGAACTCTACCCTCCGCTTAGTCTGGCTTGTTTATCCATCAGTGTCACCCCGTACGTTAGCTACATGCTCCATCCCGACTCTATCTCGTTCTATTTGCTGTCAGTCAAGGATTCTCCATGTTTTCGTAGTAGCATATACAGCGCGCAATCATCACAACGAATTATGTGTAACATCGTGTCATCATCGTCGTAGTAATACAACAGTTTATCACATCGCGTTCAGTTACTGTAAGTAGTACCTCCAGTTCCGCAGTCTATGCCAAGGGGGCGGTCAGCCGGAGGTGGACAGTCGTGACGATCCTGGATACGCGGACCTCGGCGGTCACTTGCCCTAGATTGATGCGGATACGAAGCCAACTGCTACAGTGAAGATGTACATGGGGTTCCAGTGGACGCACGTCGCTCCTGGTCGTCGCCTCCGCCAGTCGCCATATCCGTACCGCGTATCGGCTCCCGTCGACCGTGGTGCAGGTGGATACTGTGGGCTGCGCCTCTGTTCCTACTTTACACCTACGGATATGCTGTGAACGATCGGCAGCACCGCCCGCACGAACACAAACGTAGCAAGACGTTTGGGGTTGGCGTGATGAATAACGGAACGACCGAGACCAAGCAGCACGAGTGGGGCACTCACTCTCGGCCCTGGACGAAGATGGCCGGCTTGAGCGTCGCGGTGCCCCCGCTGCGCTTGCGGGCGCGGGGGCTCGCGCCGATGCTGACGCTGACGAGGGGCTGGCCGTTCGCGACGGAGCCGACGCCGGCGCCGCCATGGCTGGTGAGGCTGGACTTGCGCTGTCGAGAATGCGATCGACGCCTGGACGAGCTTCCTGTGCCTGCAAGTTGCGGCGCCGCTGCTACCCGCGCAGCTGCTCCTCACGACATCAGCACAAGCCACGAGGTGATCAAAGAGAGGAGTCGACGCACCTTCGACGACCTTCGCATCCGCCTCGCGGTGGAAGCTCTCCATAAGGGCCGTGTAGCGCTTGACCTGCCACGCGAGCTGGCTTGCGCGTGCGACGTTGCCCTGGCTCATCGCCCACTTGCGCTCCTCCTTGAACCGCCGCCGCTCTGAGTCCGCGAGGCTCGCGCGCGCGCGGAGCACGGCGACCTCGCGCTCCTGCGGCGTCAGCTTACCCTCCGGGTCGATAGAAGACGGCACGGAGTCGAGCGAGATCGAGGGCGCGGTGCTGCAGTAGGTGAGCGTGGGCGTGATGGGCCGGATGTCGCTCGAGCGGCCGTGGCGGTCGTCGTCTGGGACGACGTGGCTGCGTTCGCGCTCTCGTTCGCGGTCGCGATCCCGCTCTCGGTCACGTTCGCGTTCGCGATGTCGGTGGGCGCGCGTGCGGTCGCGCCCGAACGAGACGAGGCGGATGCGTTTTGGCGGCTCCGGGGGTGGCTCGCGTGCAACGGCCACCACCGGGGCGCGGCCGACGACGGACTCTGCCCCAAGGCCGATGCCGGGGGTACCGTCGACAAACTGGGCGAGGAGGTCGGTGAGGAGGACGCCGAGCGCGACGCCGAGGACGGTGCAGGCTGTCTGGACGACGTCGCTGAGGCGGACCCAGTCGATGACGAGCTTGGCGGCGACGCCAGCGACTACTACTACGACCGCCTGGGGTAGCTGTGTGAGGGTGTTGTGGATGAGGACGCCCTGGAAGAGGCCGTTGAGGAGGTAGTCTGGGGTCGAGGGAGGGTGTGTTGGGTCGGAGGGGAGGAGTGCGTTGATGAAGACGCGCGCGCCGAGGGCGAGGAGGAGGGGAAGGCCAGTCGTGAGTTGCATGCAGTTTGGAGAGCTGTCACGGGCATGAGAGGGTATCCGCGAGAGGCGACGGCCCCGGCGAGTGCGAGCACGACGAGGACCACGACGAACAGGACGTAAATTCCGGCGCTCGCCCAGCCCGAAGTCCAACCCCCGCGAGGCGCACACGTGGAAACAACAATCACTCCCTCGACCCAGACGTACAAACATTCCGCGGCGACGACGCAAACAAGACGTAGGATGCCGGCCCTGATACGAACAACAAGAAGCAACTCATGATGTTACGTCCCAGGACTTTGTGAGGTATGGAGCCCACACTCATAAACGAGATCTATGGCAACACTGGCCTGTAGGCGCCTACCACAGCAAGGTCCAAGGAACGCGACCGCAGCTAATGGATAGGACCCCGCATGGCCAGCTACCGCATTCACAAGAAACCTTAACTGCACCAAGGGACATAGGCAGGACATGGGCCGCCGCAAGCTACGGAAGTGATACGTCAAACCATCTCCAGCCTGCGAAGATCAAGGCGGCTCGCCTGTAGCACCCACCATCCAGAGCACTGGCAGCGTCAGATCGTATGCTGTACTTCGCGGACAGATATGATCATCTCAGCTTTGCGAAGCTATGTCAAATCAAGTATTGGACAGAGAACATATTCATGGGAGGTTTGAATTGCTCCTGCGCTCACTCCTCAATTCGCCCTTCTCCCTTCGCATTCATGGACAAGCAAGGCAACGCCCGCGTAGAGCTACGTGCAGTAGACACCGACGCTCTCGCCCTAAACACAAGCCTCTACTATGCTGCTGACTTCTCTTATATTGCCCTGGACATCGCCTTATCCAGTGCTCTCTTCGGTATGTGTTTTGCCACCTGAAAGCTTGTGAGCGAATCTAGGTACTCAAACAGCAGCAGGTATCCTAACTTCCCTCGTGGCCGTCGCAGTCACCATCCTAATGTACGAACTATTGGCCTGCATCATTCATATTTGTTGCGCTGACGCGAACGATAGACGAAGGGGATTGGGTCACAGGCCCGTGAAGTTCCTCCTTGCAGCGACCTTGATCTTGTATGGATCTACGACGGTCTACATGGCATCACTAGCGATTTATGTGACCAGCGTTCATCGTCTGGTTTCGCACGCGTCACTCGGCATCTCTTCTGAATCATACGCAAATGAGACCCGAGTATTTCGGGACGACATACTGAGGCAATCGTGGATGATGACCATTTCCCTCGCGATCAATGTCTGAGAGCCGTCATATCCTTCTCAGAGCATCGTCGTTCGAACTTACGCAACCTGCAGATAGGGATCGGCGATAGCGTAGTGTGGTGGCGCGCTTGCTCGGTGTGGAGAAGCAGGGTGGTTTACGCAATTGGTGCCATGTTCGTTGCGCTCATTCTCGGTACGTTGTGCAGAGCAAACGGCACTCTCGTTGTCATTCACTATATGTAGCTCATGAGCGACACGATAGGCCTCGGGGTGAAAGCTGTCTCTGGCGTGCACCAATGCATAGAGCCATGCAGGCAACCGGCATTGCTGCTACCCCAAGGATTCTTTGCTGACGCCTGTGCCGGACTATCGCTACTCCTCAATATAGTAGCAACAAGTCTGATTGGCTACAAAGCATGGTGCGTACTCCTACTCTTGGATGATCAGTGATGCACTGAGCATGCTCCGTTCGGTGGAGTGGATGCAGGGGACACAAACGCTTCCTTCGTGAACATCTCGGCGCTGGAAAGCGCAGGACGAGAATGATGAGAGTTCTTGCCCTATTGGTCGAGTCCGGATCAGTCTACTGCCTCCTCCTGGTATGCAAGCGCTAGAAGAACTAGGCGCCAGCTGATCATTTCGTATGCTACAGCTTGTCGTCCTCATATACGAAGTGACCCCGGCGCTTACCCCCTCCTCCTCCGTGCATCAAAATGGCTTTTTCAGCGCGATTGCATATTACACTTACGCCTGCTTCATCCCAGTCATGGTGAGTGGCTTGTGTTTAACTCGCTCCGCACACTTTCCGGCTGACATGGCCTCGCCCTCGGGAGGCCATTTATCCGGTCCTGATCATAAACATCGTCACGCTCAATTGGTCGCCCGTTCAGTACAGCCTGACCGACCTCAACATTCCTGTCGACCCCTTTACATCCCCTTTCCCGCCCTCTGTCCACGACGCAGTCACTTGGACAGTGCAACTAATGCTGCCCTTCATGCATCATGTCTCGCATGATGTAGTAAATAGCACTGACACATGTATGAGATATACCTGAATACTTACTCCACCCAAATTCATAACCACTCAGGATCAGGGATGCGGTACTCTACTACAAGTTCCTCTCTCTTGCCACGATACTAGGCTTGTCTCCGCGAGGACCGCAGCGTGCGGTCCAGAAGGCATAAACTCTAATTCTCGATCACTAGAGCGCTAGGTTGCAGACATGAAACGTTAAACACCCCCGCCGACCTGTCCATCTTGACAACAGAGGCTCCCAATACTCTCGCGATGCGAGATTACATCTTTCCCCCGAGTTTCGCCGCATATATGCGGTGTTGCGGAACCTGCGTGGCAGTTGGCATCCGCTGCACTGCTGCGACGGTTAGCCATCGGCTTACGCTAAACGACGTAACGCTCCTGCCTTTCTCCCTATCTTGGTCTCAGCGTCACCTCTGAGTTCTGCGGATCAGGAAGGGATGCCTCCACGGGAATAAAGTCTTGAGTAACTCGAGGTCGCAGGATCTTAGAATTTTAGAGCTCTACTGAGTCTTAGGTAGACAAAACAGCGCGCGGGAAGGGTGCCATCATGTTGAGGGTCTGGGTCTGTTCTGATTGAGGTTGCTACCAAAGCATGCAGCTGAACAATGGGATGTCAATACCAGTCAAGTGCGCGGCAATGCAGCAGCCCCGTAAGCAGCTAGTGAACAAACAACATCTACTAGTCATCAGCGTTCGCGGCCGCGAACGGTCATATAGAGTACATGGAGCAGTGCAGACATACGTAGCGGTGAAATGACCGTTGAACTCGGCGGAAGGAAAGATCACTGATCGTACTCGTACGATGGTGCCGCTGGTCGAGAGATTACGTGGGTGATTACACGTTCCAGGACCAGAGGGCCAAGCGGCGCATCGCAGCCAGCCATATGGTGTCCACGCACAGATCGAGCTCCTTGCGCAGCTGTGATAGCGGACCCAGCGGTCGCAGCCCGTCATCTCAACTCATTCTGCCTCGAACGGCCCGCAGACTGAGGCTACGACCTAGCCGCTTCTATATCCTTCTGTCGAGGATCCTCGATCACATCGTCCTGGGTATATTGAGAGTGTAGGGTATCTGTCATGACCACAGTGCTCATCGTGAAACCCTCGTGATCGCGAGCGTCATGAGGAGAGCCGGGAGCTCCATGACCGGTCATGTTGACTTGTGTCATGCTGTGTTCAATGGGCGACCAGTTGAGCGCGACAATGACGATGATGAGCACTGGATAGATGGCCTGGGCGCACGGCGGCACATGTCAGCCATAGTCAGCCAGCGGGGCGCAAAGTGCCATGACCGGACGCTCACTATGACAGGGATGAAACACGCGTACGTATAGTACGCGACTGTGTCGAGGAAGCCGTTCTGATGCACGTCGGGCGAGACGAAAAACGCCGAGCTCGCTTCGTATATGACGACAATGATCTGTGGGGACGCGCGCGTGCGGTCGGTCAGCGGAGAGCTCGTGCTCGAGCCTTCGAGATGTGGCACGTACCAAAAGAATACAGTATATCATACCCGATTCCACGAGGAGCGCGAGCGCCTTCATCGCGCGCATCTTGCTGCGACCGCGGCCAAGTTGTCCTCGCAGAACGCGTCGGTATACCCTGCCCAAGCACGACGTCAGCCATTGAGATGCGCGACACGACGCGCTGGACACGCGGCGGGTCGAGTAGGAACATTCGCACCCACCATGCCTTATGCCCAATCAGGATCGTTGCGATAGCGTTGACGGCGAGCGATAGGATGGCGCACACGTCGGTGAAAGCACCGTTCGGCAAAAGCATTTCCGGCTGTCGGCAGGGACTCGTGCAGGTCTCTACACCGGATAGCGCCTTGACTCCAAAAGCTAGAAACGAATGAGCTCGAGACATCACCATAAAATACTATGCGCTACGCACCGAATACGAGCATGATCAGGAGCGGACCAACGCAGTACACGACCCTGTTTTTCCACAGCACGCAGGCACGCCACCAGACAATGCTATCGCCGATCAGGATCTAGGCATTAGGTTAGTTACTAATTTCAAGGCCACACTACGGCAAGGTCGCCATACATTCATGCCGAGAGCTGCTGTCATCATCCATGATTGCTTGAGTATGTCGTCCCGGAACGCGCTGATGTCTGCGTCGCTGAAAGAGTCGGAGAAGAGATTGCGCTGGGCCTTGGTGACCAGACGGTTGACGCTGACAACGTAGCTCGCCAGCCCAGCCATATAGAGTGCCGTCGACCCATATAGCAGCAGCGTGCTAGGGAGGAGGATCCTCACAGCCGTATGTGCTAGTCCTCTCTGGCTAAATGAAGGCCAAAATCAGGTCTTCGTAGTCCACGACAAAGTAGGTAGCAAGGGCACGTACGTCAGGAAGATCAGCGCGACAAAGACTAGCGACGTCAACACCCCTGTCCACAAATTCAGACTATATTGACCCGGACAATGCGCGCCGCGACGTACCAAAGAGAACGCTAGACAGAGCAACATCCAGAACCGCGTAAGGAAAGTCGGCGGCGTAATATTCGGTCGTGTTCAGTGCAAGCTCATTGAGGTTTGCAGCTGGCCGTAGCTCCAGGGCGGCCACGGGAACCAGTAGCATACTCGTTCATGGAGGGGCTTCCAAGGGGGAACGTGGCAGGCGCAAAGGAGAGGCTCGAGCCCGTCGTTCATGTTTTGAGGCCCTAAACAACCAAACGTTCGCGTGGAAGATCAGGGAAGATCTGCGTTCGGCCGGACTGATCGAACCATCACGGGAGCACGATGAGGGGTTATCCGGTGCAGTCCTCGCACGTCAGCATATCTGACTCGGGAGCGAGGCCGACATGACGGTTACGTTGATGTGAGGCGGTCGTATCATTGCTCCTCCGTACTTGGCAAGGAATGTGTACGTGCTATCTCGAGCAAAGAGGATGGGACGCGCCTCCTTTGTCGCCTGTGCTGGGCGTAGTGGCTCTGGGCCGATCGAAGGTGGATGCCACTAGCCGGGGCTCCGAGCATTGCGTCGGTGAGCCTCCAGGAGCTTGGGAATCAAATGCCGCCAAGGGCGCAGATTTATGCCAAGTATGTGCTGAGTACTGATGAAGAATGCGAGCGTCGTATGAGCGCCGCAGCCGCGTTACTTGGTGCCTGGCAGATGAAATGGAGAGCCCGTCCGTGATATTCACGGCTCGGGCTTTAGGTAGGCCATATCCTCATGCGGACGCGCTTGCACTTATCTGCATACCATTATATACAAGCAGTCAATTTCCCAAGCCTCGATATCGTGGATGCGGCTGGGTACTTTTGCTTCGCAAGGGAACTCGTAGGAGTCAGGGTGGGGAGATGATATAGCGGTGAGGAAGAAGATGACATGAAGACAACAGTCTTGGCAGACATCGCAGTTCAATCATACAATGAAACCAAACCAGTAAGTAACGTACAGCAGCGACATATCGGTACACTGTCCCTCTCAGGCCTCCGTGTCCACATAGTTAGCCATCGGGTCCTCAGTCATCCGCCGGTTCATCCGGTACGCCTCTGCAAACCGCGATAAGCAAGAGGAGATGGAAGACAGCAGCAGAATGAACTTACCGAGCTCTTCCTCCGACACCTCATAGCTCTTGCCCAGACCTCCCTTTGGCTTCTTCCCTCCGCGGTCGTCATCGTCATCTCCCCTAGCCTTCCGTTTCCGTTCCTCGCTAAGGGCTTTTGAAAGCTTGTCGTGGTCGAGCGAGAGGTCACCCTCGCCCAGCCGCTTCTTCGAGAATAGCTCCTCGGCCTTCTTCTTGCGTTCGTCAACGCTGCTTGAAGGCACGGGCGGTGGTGGCATGGAGGATGAGGGCGGCGCGGACTCCAAGAGCTGCTGTGCACTAGATGCGTGCGCCGCCTCAATACCTGCCTCGCCCGTGCAGTACGACATGTGTATAGAGGAGTGACAGCATGCGTAGCCCCATATGCCCGTAGCAACATCATACCACGAACCCCACACGGCAGTATGGTTGTTGACGTAGACTAACGGGAGATATTGTCAATACTTCGGCCTCGGAATGTCGAGGCGAAGCACACACACCATCCTCTGGATACTTTGACCTTGTCTTGGCCCGCTCCTTGCCCTTGATGACCTGGCCCGTCCGAGAGTATTCCACGTACTCCTCCGTCTGACCCTGCAGCAGCTCCTTCGGTGCCTTCTGCAGGTACTCCTCTCCGCCGTACTTCGCGAGGATGCTGACTTTCGTAGTGTCCTTGAGCTCTTCCTTCTTTTTGACGTATTGCAAGTGCAGTAACTGGCCCTGTGTCGGGAGTGCGTTCACGTGGACGTCGTTTCCCCGCGCCGCAGCGTTCCATGCGAACAGCTGAAGCTTCTGCACCTCGGGAGCCTCGCCGGAAGAGCGCAAGAAGTTCTCGCCCGCGAATTTTGACTATACTCGCATAAGGAAGGGAAGAGATAGAGATACCATATGAAAGACGCACCTCCTCTGGTGGAACGCCCTTGTTCGGATTCTCGCGCATAGAACGAGTCTTGGGGTCGTAGTATGCACTTGACGGGTCCAGGTTGATGAGGTACTTCGCGGTATCCTCACGAATACGCAGGTTCCGCACTGTGATCCGCGTCTTCGTGTCCAGCTTCTGGCCCACCGCGTCCGCGCTCTCCGCATACTTGTCCTGATCCTCGTCTTCGTCCTCGCTGCTCCCAAAATCGTCGTCCTTCCCCTCAGCCTTCTCCTTCCCCGCCTTCGCCACCTTCCGCACCGCCGCGAGGTCCGTTGTCGTCCGCTTGTCGATCTCCTCTTCCCTGAGCTTCTGCCTCGCCGCCTCGACCGCCGCGTACTCGTCGTACACACGTTTGTGCTCCGCGGGGTCGTACCCGTTCCAGCGGTCGCGCTTCGCATCGTAGCCCGACGCAACGTCCTGGATGACCTCGTCCGGCGCGATGTCCCTGTTGGTGAACTTTGCGCCCTTCTTGCGCGGCCGCTCGAGGCAGTCCTGCCGCTTGTGCGTCATCGCACCGCAGTTCTCGCACGCGCCCTTGCGATACTTTTTCGCGGCGGGCCCCGCCTTCGCGCCGCGGTCGTACCAGTTGTCGAGCTTGTCGGCGGAGCGGTCGTAGTCGGGCATGCGCTGATGGCTCAGAGTGGGTTTGCCGGTGTCGAGATACCATGGCACTTGAGCAATGTATTCTGGGAGCAGCAAGTAAGCCTCCCAGGAGCATTCCAACTACTAGCAAGGTACACCTACGAGGAATGTGAGGGTTGATGGCTTTCCCTTCCTCATCGAGGGCTGCCGGGGCAGTACCAGCCTTCCGCGCCGCATCGAGGTCTTTCTGCCGTCGAAACTCCTCACGAGACAACTTTCCAGTGGCTGATGAAACAACAAAGTTTGAGCAAGATGGATGAAGCTGGATGCAGCGCAGGAGACGCACCAGAAGCAGAAGCCATGTTGAGGAACAGTTGTGGACGTATGCAGTCAAGGCTAAGCCGGGGCTGGAGCCACAACACTTGCCACTGAGGTAAGCATCTGGCCGCCCAAGTCGCCCCAAGTTGCCAAAACAAAAATACCACATTTTGACAGTGACGAGATTCGAACTCGCGCGGGAAACCCATCACGGTTTTGGAACAATGCCTAAACGTGACGCCGTAACCACTTGGCTACACTGCCATGCTTAATACAGCTTCAGCAGAGACAGAACTGAAGTTATCACCGCACACCGAATGAACCCCGGAATGATATTGCGTCTATCGTTACAAGTAGGTTGTTCTGCGCAGGTCAGGAGCTAGCAATTGGTAGGCGTTATGTATGACAGAAGACAGAGCGTGGGAGGAACTTGAACGGACACGACAGGCACCAAACAGACGGAGACATATGTAAGACAGACACTAGACTGGCAACGGGGAAGCAAACAAAGGAGAGCGGAATCAGCCAAAATTGCGGACAGAGATACGGGTGGTACACGGAGGTGAACACAACACGCGCTCCAAGACTTTGCACATTGTCCAAGGCGACGAGACTGGGGTGGGTAAAGGCAGACAGGAGATGGGAGAATGCACGATACGACATGATAACGAACGAACTACGCCTCGGAACCTGAGCCGTTAATAGATAAGCTTGCCATCGATGCGTCCAATGAGGGACGCTCGCTCCGGCTAGAACTGGGACGCGACAATGATGTGTGGCTACTTGGTGAGATGTCAGGACGTCACTGCATATAGTCCGCTCGTGCCGACCTGACTCACCCATCGCCCTTTTTCCGGTCCCTTGGCCAGCCCCAGACCTTGCGCATCCAATAAGCCATATCAAGTTTGTGCTGCATGACGCTGACGATCCAAGGATGTTCCAGCATCTCCTTTGGTGAGGGGCGGACATTAGGGTCTCGAGTAAGCCTACAAGATAGACCAAAATCAGCATGTACGATGTGGTCTGCGTTGACGCAACTGCTCACGTCTTCTTGATGAAGTCCTTCATCTCGGCGCTGTACACGATGCCTTCCTCATCTTCAAGCTCAGGTGGCTGAACGTGGGAAGCGCAACAGCAACGCGGGAGAAGAAACGTCAAATAAAGCTCAGCAAACGGCAGTGCTAGGGATATGCACGAAAGAACCACGCACCTCGTTCTGGATAATGTACATCATGAGCTCGATCGCCGCGAGATCTGTAGGGAACGGGAACCGGTTTGTGACGAGCTCGAGGAGGGTAATGCCAGTCGACCAGACGTCTGATCGAATGGTGTAATCGTTGCCGGACAGGCGTTCCGGCTATGCAGGACACAACGCGATCAAGAATAGAACCGCAAGAAGCAGACAGAGGCGTGTGTGTCAGCAAAGGCAGCTCATGTAGTCATGTCTGGCGGCAGGACACTCACAGCCATGTAGAGACTAGTTCCAGTGAACGTCCCCGCGACAGAGTTAATCAACTCGCCGGAAACACCGAAGTCTGCGAGCTTGACAACTCCCTCGCGCGTCAAGAGGATGTTGGGTGGCTTGATATCTCTGTGGATGGTCTTCCGCGAGTGCAGATACGCGAGTCCTTGAAGGATCTGCAATGCGAACACGGCCCCGAACTATCAGTCAGTCAAATCCGATCAAACGTCCCACACAAGACGCGCGACGCAGCGCATTGAATCAACGCAGCACGGCGAGAGTTACAGGGGAGTACGTGCCCCACGACGACCAAACGCCTCGCAGCTGGCACACCCCAAACGGGGCGACGAAACATAACGCACAGAAGAGACGACAGAAAAGCGTTACGCACCCCTTCTGCAAGCCGCCCAGCGACCTTCTCGCCGACCCTGCCGCCGATCTCGCGCATGCGCTTCCCGACGGACTCGAGCGAGCCGCCCTCGCAGTACTCCATCAGCACCTTGACCTCGCTGCTGCTCGGGCTGATGTACGCGCCGTAGAAGTGCACAATGTTGGCGTGCTCGGTGCTCGACGTGATCCTGATCTCACGCAGCAGCTGTTTCATTGGGGCCTCGAGCGTCGTGATCGCTTTGCGCGCCATCACCACGTTCGTCCGGCGGTCGCGCACCTTGTACACCGCGCCGCCCGCGCCCTCGCCCAGTCGGGCCAGCTCCTCGAGTGTATCGTCGGACCACTGGTCAAATTCCTCGACTGTCTGCCGGAGGTCGTCCATCGACAACGCCTGCGGGGGCGGGTTCTGAGGCGAGATCGTGTGGTCCGGAGGGCGGATCGTGGGCTCGCTGTCGCCAGTCGGGTGTGAATGGAAGGCTTGCTGCGGCGAGTTATGGGGCTGGGGGCCACCAATCCCTTGAAAAGCGGGACCAGCTCCAAGGCTGATGCCTTCAAAGTTGAGCTTGGGGAACGCAATTTTTCGCCGAGGAGAAGAACCTGGCATGATGCTTGGTGTGGGAACAGATAGAGTGGGTGTGGTTGAGCGCGACGGTGAGCCATTCGAAGGAGGCGAGAGAAGACTAGATCCCGTGGACTGTTCCCTAACCGCCTTGGGGCGGATGTTGAGAGGGGTGACCTCAGGAAACGGGTGAGGAGAGGCCGGACGGTGGAGTGAACGAGGCCCGATCGGCCTGGCGGGGCTGGGATGAAGCGACTGCATCGTGTCGGACGGTGAGGAGGACGATGGTCGCGGACTGAAGCTCGCAACGGCTTTAGGACATCCAGGCGTCTAGCTGAGCAGCCCAGCCCACGTGGCTCGGGCACATCGTCGGGTCTCATATCGCCGCCCGCCCACGGAGATCCCACCAGATGACCACCCGGCACGCTGTCCCCCTCGCCCCGCCCAGGCGGCGGACACGCATGCGTATAGACACCGACGGCCTCGACTGCACGCCCTCACACATTGCTCGCTAACGCATCGATTCACCAGGTGCAGATCCCATGCGGGTACTATACAGTTCTTGCCCCGAATCCAATTCTAGCGAATCGATAAAACATTGCGCTACACGCGTTCAAACCAGGCGAAGCCGGAAACACTCCAGACCGGGAGAACACCAATCATTGCTGCTGGCTGCGGAACCTGTAGTTGAATTTAGGTTCTTTCCTCAGCGCAGCTCCCGGCTCCGAAGGCAGCTCGACTCACGTACCAAGTTTACCCTTGACCTTTCAAGACTTCACCACGAGCCCGCCATCCACGCGCTCCGCGCCATGAACCCCATTCGCGTGCCCGCCTCGGCCCTTTCTACCCCGCCCGCCGCGTCTGTGGCCTCTACCCCGAACGCCTTCTCCCCGTCTCCCACCGTCAATGTTTGTGTTGTTGCTGCCCTGGCGACCAGAAACTTCTTTGACGACCTGTGCTTCTCTGCTAACGACCGGGCCGTGTCCCTTCCTTGGGACGCCCGGCAGCTTCACTCCGGGAGTGATGGTGCGCGTTTTGTCTGCAGAGACTCCCATGTCACCCACGTCGTAACGCGCTCTGACATGGTCGCCCAACATGTCCGAGGGGGCGGCGTTGACACTCGCGCGGCCAGTTGACGAAAGGAACAGATGCAGGCCAGAGCCCTTACCAGCGGTTCCTTGTGCGCTAGCGCGCCCCGGCGCAGGCGGCATCCGCCCGGCGTCGACACTAGAAGCATAGTCCTCTTCGGGCACAGTGGAAAGCCGACGTTGAACCAGCCTGCTGAGAGGGACCGACCGGATATGCTGAGGTAGCCCAGTGTTCTGCAATTCCCGCGCGGAGCTCGGAGAGGAAGGCGCAGCCGAGAACGACGGTTGTGTCATAGGAGCCGCATCTACTCGTCGGAGCCCATACGGCGGGGCGCTGCCATAGGGCGTATTCGGAGGCGCCTTTGGCATAGTAGGCGAATAGTTACTGCCGCGTACCGATGACGAGTATGGGAGGACATAGTCGTGAAGCTGGGCATTTGTCGGGTATGGGTCCGGGAGAGTGCGACGACGAGCATATTCCGCAGCTAGACGAGGAGGGATCTTCTGGCCATGAATGCCGGTGATGTGAGCCGCCGGAGACAAGGGACCCAGGGCAGCGTTACGAGCACTTAGACCGGTTGTACCAAGAGCATTAGGAACAGCTCTCAGCAGATGCTCTAGACGCGATGGTATAGCCTGCGAGGAAAGATAAGTCGAATTCATTTGAGACAAAGCAGCGGCAGCAAGTAGTTCCGGAGACAGCATCCCGCTTTGGTAGGGAGAGAACGTAGACGACCAGATAGGCGAGGTAGTCTCCGGAGGGGTAGGCAGAATACCTTGAAGTTGTTGCTGACGGTAGCTCTGAGCGATGTCCAGCGCAGACGTGCGAGAAGCCAGCCCCTGAGAGTGAGGTAAATGCTGAGACGCGAGCTCTTCCAACAGAATAGGTGACCGAGAAGATTTGAGTGACTCTAAGAGAGAACCAGAAGATGAGGAGGCAGGAAGAGAGGTATTCGAGAGTCCATGTATGTCACTAGAGGAACCCCAAGATGGCGTGGTTAGTCCGTGGCTCCTAAAACGATCTTGGGCGAAAAGCGCGGCCTGAAGTTCGGGACTGATGTCATGGACCAGTTCTGGAGTTGGAAGATCGCTGGCGTATGAAGGTTGCCACCGCGGGCTCGGCAAGGCGCCATCAGGCACAACTTCCACGTAGTTCCTTTCAAGAGAATGCCCCATCAGTCGTCCGAGGTCGATGGGCTCCGAGTGCTTTAGTATGAACTCAGGCGGACGCGGAAGCTCTGCATGGGTCGGATGAGAAGTCGTCGTGTTGTGATTATCTTGCCTTGCACGATTGGTAGGCGCGGCGCTCGACGCTTGAATGTCTTGAGCAATTGAAGGCTTACTGGCATGTTGAATCTTCACAGCGGGTCGTGCCGTTTCACCTGTAATCTCTGCGGCAGGTTTGATTGAGGCGGGTGGAGGATGTACCGACTTCACTTGAGATTTGTTGCTCGTGGCTTCGCCATTCAAACCCCATATGACGCGAGGTAGACTATCCGGCTCCTCGATTATCGTGCCTTCCGCACCCCTACGGACGCTGCATGAGGGGCTGTATCGCGACAGAAGAGAGGATACCTACGAGGGACAGCGTGCATATGGAAGGGACAGTGGGCCGTGCAGCGCAGGAATAGGGCGCGGAGGAGATTGAGTCCAAGCGATCCAACCTGCGTGAGGATGAGCGAAGGGAATGCGCAAGCGAACCACGGATAGGCACCTTCGTTGTCTGACTCAGACGCGGACTCCTCGTCTACACGCGGTTTGAGAAATTCAGTCGAAAGCTGGTTACTGGTATTTGCGATGATTACCACAGAGTCAGGTGAGGATGGGATGGACGGCGTGTGCGGAACGTCAGTCGCCTGCGAACGTACGCGGACGCGTGTGCGCTCTTCGTCCTCAGATCCGAATGGGTCGCCGACGATGCTTTGTGCGTCGAGACCGTCCGACGCTGGGTCGCGGCGAGGGACAGGCATGGATACGACCCGCGCGGTCTTCTTTTCCAAAACGGTCTTCATGCGGAATTTTGGCGTCGCCTCAGGTAGGGACACGACTCGAAACGATGGCTGCCTCATGAGAAGAGTTGTTGGTCTGTTGGCCGGGACCAGATCCGTTTTGTAGGCTCGAGTTGTGGTGGTCATAGAGCGATCAGCAGCGGAGCTCGCGGATTCGAAGGAGACATCGGTCTGGCTATGACTATATGCGCTCTCATCCTGCGTGGTCGTCCTCGAATGTCCGGAGGGTGGCAGAGACGCCGACAGGGCCGTACTCAATTCGTCGGAACGCGAGTTAGATGGGGAGTCTGCGCGTGGAGATGGTGGGATCTCAGGGGTTGGGGTCTTGCGAGAGAGCATGTCCGTTTGAACGCCACGATCAATATACTCTTTGATGAGAGGAGAAGCGATCGATAGCATAACAAAGAATCAGAGCGAAGAGTCTGCGAAAGGGTCGAGTTGGTCCAGATGCAAGTTGAACATGAACGTTCTTGTCAAGAGGCGAGTCTGTCGGCGGAGCCCGAATTACCCCCACCAAAGGCACGTCTCGTCACAATGTGACGTAGCTCCTCGGCCCTGTTTGGCTGTTCCAGATGACAATGCAAGTAAAAGAGCGATGAACAGACCATATAAATCCTCAAGCCCAGTGAAAACCCCGCCTATTGCCAAAGATTGCTGGCTATTGCCGTCTGATGCCGTCTTTTCGGAGCGATTTGGATGACAGCTCGGCGTCTAAAATGGCTCGTTTCATACATCGATTGGCTCGTTTTATATATACAATGGGCCGTTCTATATGTACAATGGGCCGTTTGACGTCAATCGATAGTATTAAACCGGTGTCCGATGTATATATACTGTTCCATCCACATCTATTACATATATGCCTCCCTGTGTGCCGACCGACGGTTATCCTACCATATCCATTCTTACGATCTCGTCCCCAGCTCCTTCGTCCATGACGCCATCGGTGTTCGCAATGCTCTATATATAGTGGGCGAAAGCCGACCTCCCATCTCTGCGCCCTTTCTTCCTCCTTTCACCATCCCTTTCTGTCCTCGGTACTCTCATTCACCGTGAGCCTCGCTAACAGGTAGGGTATCGCTGTCTGTACACGTCAACACAGGTGAGTGGGTTACTC